TCGAACTCAGGACCTCTGGAAGAGCAGGCAATGCTCTTAACCTCTGAGCCATCTCTCCAGCCCCCTTTTTTTTAATATTTACTTATTTATTATATATACAATATTCTAATTTTTATCTTTATCTGTTTGTTTGTTTGTTTGTTTATTTATTTATTTATTATGTATACAATATTCTGTCTGTACGCCTGCACCAGAAGAGGGCACCAGACCCCATTACAGATGGTTGTGAGCCACCATGTGGTTGCCGGGACTCGAACTCGGGACCCTTCCACCCCCAACTTTTCCCTTCTATTCCTAACCCACCCACTGTGACACTTGTTGACAGGAAGTAGCGCAGGAAGCCTGGCAGAACCACAAACGACGGAACGACTCCGTGATCGTGGACACTTTTCACGGCCTCTTCAAGTCCACGCTGGTGTGCCCGGACTGTGGCCACGTGTCTGTGACCTTTGACCCCTTCTGCTATCTCAGCGTCCCACTGCCCGTCTGTCCCAGGAGGGTCTTGGAGGTTTTCTTCGTCCCCATGGATCCCCGCCGCAAGCCAGAGCAGGTGTGCCGGGACTCGAACTCAGGTCCTCTGGAAGAGCAGGCACTTCTCCTAATCACTGAGCCATCTCTCCAGCCCTCCTCGAGGTTTTCTGCATTAACCAACCTCTTCTATGCGTGTTATTTCTCCCTCAGCACCGGGTTGTGGTTCCCAAGAAAGGCAACATTTCTGATCTGTGTGTGGCCCTGTCCACGCACACAGGTGTTGCACCAGACAAGGTGAGACTTTGCAGAGGGACGTTGGGTAGGTGGGTTTTTTTTGTTTTGTTTTGTTTTTTTAATTAATTAATTTATTATGTATGCAATATTCTCATTTTATATTTATTATTTATTTATTATGTATACAATATTCTGTCTGTGTGTATGTCTGCAGGCCAGAAGAGGGCACCAGACCTCATTACAGATGGCTGTGAGCCACCATGTGGTTGCTGGGAATTGAACTCAGGACCTTTGGAAGAGCAGCCAGTGCTCTTAACCACTGAGCCATCTCTCCAGCCCCCAGGTGGTTTTAAAGAAAAAGGGCCTTGCATACTGACTGTTTCCATGTTTCTGTCCTATTCCCAGATGATAGTGGCGGATGTCTTCAGCCACCGATTCTATAAGCTCTACCAACTGGAGGATCCTCTCAGCAGCATCTTGGATCGTGACGATATCTTTGTGTGAGTGTAAAGACTGAGAGGGGTGAAGAAAGGAAGCTCCCCCTACCTTTTGTTTTTGCCTTGCTGGGGGATGGAACCCAGAACTCGAGAGCGTATTAGACAAGTACTCTTAATACGTGAACTACACTTACAGTCCAATATATGCAAAAGTAAATAAATATTATTTGTAGGTACTGGAATTAGAACCCAAGCCCCCTGCATGCTAGGCAAGTGCGCGACCACCGAACTAGGCTTTGTTTCCCACCGTTTTAAAACTTTGGGCAACTAAAAACTAAACACTACTTTGGGAGTAGAAATTTTCTTTGTAGCCTGGTGGTGGAGATGGTGGCACACACCTTTAATCCCAGCGCTTGGGAGGCAGAGGCAGGTGGATCTCTGGGAGTTCGAGACCAGCCTGGTCTACAAGAGCTAGTTCCAGGACAGGCTCCAAAGCTACAGAGAAACCTTGTCTCGGAAAACTAGATAGGGGGCTGGAGAGATGGCTCAGAGGTTAAGAGCATTGCCTGCTCTTCCAAAGGTCCTGAGTTCAATTCCCAGCAACCACATGGTGGCTCA